TAGGTTCTTATTTTAGCTACGGACAACCTAAATCATTATAGTTTTTTAATTTTAGTTACGGTCAAAGTCAATTGTAGCTATAGATTCATATTTTTAGCTTTGGTCATCTCAAAACCATAGCTACAGATCTAAATGTTATAGCTTCGGGCATTTCGAAATCATGCCTATAGAGCAACACTTAGCTACGGTTGTAAAACAAACTGTAGCTATAGAGTCAAATTTGTAGCACAGTTAAATGAAAAACCGTAGCTAAAACTTCACATATAATTATTGAATCAGGCTTTAGCCACAAACATAGATCGTAGCTATAGGTTACTTTTTGCTATGGATGCCATCCGTAGCTATTACCTATAGCCACCACAACTGTAGCTACTATTTTCAAACCATAGCTAGTCCATAGCTATAGACCTATAGTTACGGTTTTGTCCGTGGCTACAAATCTATTTTCTTGTAGTGGTCAAAGAGTTGTAGAAGCTTACTGGCCGAATAGCAGCCCTCTATAGGTTCATGTCTTGGTTAGTAAATCATTGATTACCATTTTTCAAGCTATCAAGAAAACGAAAGACTTCCAATGGATAGACGATTGTCAGACCAAACCTAGGAGAGAAAATCTACCTATACCTACCAGTACGTGATAAGGCATTTAGCTTAGTGCTAGTCTTAAAAGACACTAGGATGTAGAAGCCTGTATATTATGTTAGCAAGGTTCACCACGATGCCAAAGCAAAATACTCCAACATGGAGAATACTGCATTTGCACTGGTAACCTAGACTTGGAACCTAAGACCCTACTTCCAGGTTCATACAAGTCGTCTTAACCAACCAACTTCTAAGGCAAATACTACAAAAGCTTGAGACCTTAAGTTAATTGATGAACTGGGTTATAGAGATCAAGGAATTTGACATTATATACAAGTTGAGGCATGCCATAAAAGCCTAGGCACTAGTGGATTTTTTCATTCAGTTCACTTTTAGAAACAACAACGCCCCAATCCCTGAAGACCTCTAACCCACATGGACTTTGCATAAAGACAGATCCTCTAACAAAAAGGGAACGAAGCTAGTCTTATCCTTCTAAGTTCGGGCATACCACACACATTAAAGTGTGCACATTGGTTTGGCTTCCTAGTCTCAAACAATGAAGTTGAGTTTTAGGATTTCACCTCGCAACAAGTGCTACGGTTAGAGAAAACCCGAGTTGACACCTTGTTAAAACTTGCTGACTTGACAAGGTTAAACTTCAACAGAATAGTGTACATCGAGGAACTAGCTCGTCCCAGTGTTGAAGACAAGTCAATATGCCTAGTTCAGTTGGAACTTAGTTGAATGGGTCCTATTTGAGCGTACTTATGTCACAACCACTTACTAGAAGATTGAAATGAGGCACAAAAGGCCACGTGCAAGTTGGTTTGGTACACACTACTAGAAGATAAGCTTTACAAGAGGACTTTCACATTTTCATAGATAAGAAGTAAGATGCTTGCTCACTGACGAAGAAAATTATATCCTTAGAGAAATACATGAAAGAGGACGTGATGCAAATAATTTAGAAGTGTGACCAATGCCAAAGATATATGCCTTGCACACTTCCTGTGCTCTACATGAGGCAAAAGATTTACAACTACCTTCAATAAACCTTAAAAGAATTCACAGCCTCAACCTCTCTAGAAGGATCTGCCCTCTTTGTCAATACCATTCAATATCAATACCTACAGTCTCATCATTATCTATTAACCAGTCAATGTCAATACCTACAACCTCATCATCATTATATGCTAACCACTCAATGTCAATACCTATAATCTCTTCCTCCTCCTTTTATCTGACTTACCATCACTCTCATCCTCAACCTCTCTAGAAGGCTCTCCCCTTTCAGTCACTATAGTGGGGTTTTTCTCTCCACCCCCTCCAAAAGACTCTCCACCCTCAATCACTTGAGTAGGGATTTCTTGTCCACTCCCTCTACTATGCTATTCATCTTCAATTAATCGAGTGGGGTTTTCTTCACCCCCTCTAGTAAGCTCTACTCCACCAATACCCCTTTCAATAGGGTCAGCTTGGGTGACATATATATATATATATATCCTCTAAATCACCCTTGAAAATTACATCATCACTCAACCCAATGTCATCTTTGAACTCATGTGCATATTCATTCAAATCCACAAACAATCTGGTCCCTATTGGGTCTATTGGGTCCCCACCATATAATTCTTTTGCAATGCACCTTGCTGCAACATATGTTGGGGCTGATACATTATATTCCACATGCATGTTAAGACTCCCACCCTCGGATAGATATGCCAACAACCCAAATGTGGTTAAATTATCAAACACTTCCCTCAACCCATCACTAATACCCATATTCGACACCCTACAGAAAATTTTACCCACCTCATTCTTCAAATACCCACAATATTCAACCATTATTCTTCAAATACCCACCTCATTTCTTGTCTGCATCTATCTCCACATATGTATCCATTCCCATAGTGATTTCAACTTGAGAATAAATAAGCAAGAAACAAATTTAAAAAATTACAGGAAAACCATCTCAATGAGCTTAACCAAAAAACGCCCTTCCAATGCACATTAATATACCTTTGTTCCCGCCTTTTTCCTATTGTGGTTAATGGATTGACACTAGGTTACGGTGTTGGGAGACTACAAGTTCAGGGTGGGTTAGCTGCTTTGCTTTAGTGGAAAAAAGGTTGTCACAATTTGTTTGTTAGTCGGAAAAGACGATCCGACTGGAATAGTAGATGATCGGAGAGATTTTGCAAGAGATAAGTTCAAGGTAAAAAATGATCCAAAACAATGGTCCCTTTTGACGTGTGGGGCTTAACATTCAAGTGTGGGCCCCACATAAATGTTAGATGCTGAATAGGCATGCCAAATCAGCATTTTTTATTATTTTAATCAAGCTCAAATGGCGTAAGCGACGATGTTACAAACGTCTTGTGATTCTACTTACGATTGGCCTTTTTTTAAGTCTTTAGTTTGAAGGAAAAAGTGCCTTTTTCAAATAATACTTGGGTTGTTAGAGACATTAATCCATATATATTTAATATAATAGATAAATAATATGGAACATACATTATATATATATAATATACATATAAATACATATATCAGTCGATTTTATTAATTGTTTATGAGCATCCCTAATCTGTAAGGTGCCTAACACCTTCCCATACTATGGTTGCTGAACCCTAAGAATCTCTTATCTCCGTAGGGCAAAGAGTCACTAAGAAAACTAGTTTTTCTTGCAAAATCTCATATTTTCCTAAATTCCCATTTCCCAAAAGTTTAGGTGGCAACTCCATCTCTTTGGTTTTGGTAGCCACAATTACAATGCTCACTCTCACTCCCAAAACACTCCTCCTGAGAAGAAACAAGAGAAAAGAATGGAGTTGTCTCAAAAGGAGAAAGTTGGGGTTATGTCTCAGTGGACATTCTGGTGACCTCAACTTTTTTGAACAAAAGAGGCAAGGATTTGGGACCATTCATTTTTTGTCAATGTTTGAATGGTTGATAAAGAGAATTAGATGACACTCGAAGGATGTTTATGTCTTTTTTATTTATGTACTTTGTATAAATAAATATTTATTTTATATCTTTATTAATTACTTAAATAATTAGTTAGTCAAATTCGAATTCAAACAACGATTTTCAATATCCGTCGGGTATTCAATTCGGATTCAATCCATTTCCACTCCTAGTAATAAAGCAAGACAAATAAAATAAATGGAGAAGTACAAAAACACACGATGCAGAATTCTGAATTCCAGCCCCCCCCCCTACTACTAGCCCTTTGCCCCCCTATAAACCACATCCTGCCCGTAAATTTGACATCAATTCACGGTCAAGATGCATTCCCCCTGTACTTTGTGGATAGAGAATTCTGACCTGGACTGATTGGTACTTCTCCCTAAAATAAATTGTCAACATACAAAATAAAAAAAAAGAGAGAGAGAGAATTGAAGAAAATCTTGAAACAAAACAGCTCGGTAATTGCTGACTGAACCCTAGACACCATTAACAAACAATTGCAAAACAAAGGCAGGAGGAAGCTATCGTTCCGTTTGCGAATCATTTCTTCTTCTTCCTCGACTCTATAGCAAGAGTTCTTTCACGCATAATTTCTAAAGCCCAAAGTTAGCAAACTTCAAAGCCCATCTAATTGGGACTTGAGACTCATCATGAGTTTCGGATCTTCTCCTAGAAAGTAGCCATGAATCCATCAGATTCAACGATTTGACAATGAGGTGATGAGCTACCCGTAGTGGGTGGAGCTTTTAGCCTTCTTACAATAATTTAGAATCGGAGAATACACCTAAATCTTACTACCTCAACGACTCAAGTAGGTCGGACCGTCGGAGTGAGTCTGAACTGAGTGGTTGGCATTGACGATGCAGGTCATTGATTGGGGAAGAAGTTTGTTACCGTCGGGCTTTTGCTATATATTATGCACAAGCATGGCTTCACCACTAACCAATATCGTTGTTTATACTGAAAAAATTGCAGATTCTATATATGAACTTGCCAAGACAAGGTAAATTAGATATTGAACTTATAACCTGTCTATTTAATAAGGCTCACAGATGTAAATTAGATTTGATTTGTTATATTACTTGGGCAATTTCTATGTTACCTAATTAAAAGGTATGATGCATATATATTATTCCAAAAGAAAGGGAAGGTGCCACTAATCTACCATATATAGAGATCTTTATACTTTGGACTAGAAAGGAGAATTAAAACGACACAAGAATTAAAAAGAGTAATATGCTTTGATGTAGTTTAATTTTCTAAGAAAATTGATCACATGGAACAAACAAAGTCAAAGAAGTCAGACTCAACTCAACTAGCTAGATAGCATTAACTGATCCACAAAATGGAAACCAACTAAGGACMGGATGAAAGTAGTTGATCAGTTGGATATATGCAAATTAATTAAATAAGCCGGCTCCAAACTGATCTATGTTTCATTTGGTGGGCTAGATATTGAGACGTTTTTNTGGGAGTTGACGCATAGAAAGTATGGCAATTGGGAGAATAGCTAGACAAGCAGGAGGAATCATAACCCACTTCATTTCATGGCGAAGTACCATTAATATGGTGCTCATAAAGTTGGCTATCATGGATGCAATAGAAATGTAAAGGAATAGAAGGCCGATGCACAATATCCAGGGCAGGATAACTAAGAAATCTTGTTCTGYGAAGCGTGTAATATAGATGGAGAGGAAAGCAATCAAGGAAGAAGAGGAGAAGAGGAGTGATATCAAATTGGTCAWAACGAAAGTGTTGAAGTTGTGGCGATCAATGAAAATGGAGATGCCTGAGTCGGATTTAGTTGCACCAGGTAATGCCAAAGTTGCTGAAAGCATAACTGAAGCCACAAGCGTGGCCACCACCATACATGCTTCTGCGGTTTGCTTCATCCATTCCTCTCCTTCTTTGAACAATTCCTTGTGTGAATCATTGAATAACATCTTAGGTGTCTTGTTGTCCATGTTTTTAAGTTGTTGGTGGAGAGGTGGAAGAATGGCTTGCACTTTCTATCATGATCACGATGAGAAACAAATTAGTACGTAATTAATAACTACAACATACCTACGTAATTAAAAAAAAAAAAAAACTCACCCTGAACCACACAATCTCTTTCCGTAGCTGAAGAGCTGCTGCACCAGAGATGTGATTACGTCGTTGCACAGGTGGCAACTCTGCCACAAGATGTAATGCGTTGTTTCCGGTTTCTCTGTCGTTGTAATCACCTATTGCAGCATCGGTTGGTATATCAAAATCGTTGATGAGTTGGAATATCTTATCTTTACGGCAGAGGATTGCTTCATGGAACAGGGTCATTTCTTCATTGTTTCTCAGTTGTGCGATTCGAGGACGATACCTAAGAATCTCAACGATGAAGTCAACATTCCCCTTCTGGACGGCACGGAAAAGCGCATCGATAATTAATGCTTTCATATCTTTATCATCAACGTCGTATGCATCCCCAACCTCGATGATTCCAACAGTTGCAATTTGCTGACAAATTGCTCGCAGTAGCATGAAGGCACCCGGCGACATCGATCGGAATCGTCTCTTTTCGTTGGCAAATTTAAGTGGCCTTGGGACAAAATGGTCAGCTAAAACAAGGCAAAACTAAAGTAATTGGTAAATGATCTAAAATTTGAAAATGGAAATTTCATTCATTGTCTTAAATAACACAGATAGAAGCTTCCAGAAAAAAAAAAAAAATTAACACAAAGAAAAGAACACGTGTCAAATAGATTTTCTACAATTCTATTTCTTTTGGTTGTAATAAGTCATAGCTAGTAGCTGACTGCATTATTATGATTTAACATATATTGGTCCTGAGCGCTTACCTAAACTCAGGGCTTGTTACTTTGCTTTCAATTTTAATATTGAAAGTGTTATAATTACATTAAGAGATATATTGGTATGGGTGAATTTTTTTCTCTAACTTTGAATACATAGAATGTTGTTTGAATTCTAAAAATTATCAAATATCTATTTTAACCCCACCATATATGAGAGCTTTTGTTTATTTTTTTTTTGAGAATATCATTGAAAAATAAAAAGTTATTATATGATTGTACTTTAAGAGATAAAAGATAAGAGGAAACGAACAACTAACTTTCTCTTAAAATTAAAAGATTCCTCTTAAAAGATAAGAGTTAAGAAGAAATGAACAAGCCCTCAGACTTCAACACACACAATTAGGGATTTCAATTTTCCTGTACCTGTAGTCAAGGGTATGGAGACTGCTTTGTCAGGGATGGTGGTAGGGATTAAGTCAGATATACCATCAAAATGAAGGATGGAGAGTGAAAATTCAACCTGCTTGACTGTAATATTCTAAATTTTGAATATGTATATATCATCGTCATCATCCATGTCTTATCCAAATTATATAGGGTCAGCTACATGAATCTTGTTTGGCCAATCCATTGTATTTAAAATCATATTTTTCTTAAAATGTAAGAATAGATAAATCAGGATCCATATTTATAAGAGTTTAACAAAAGTTTTAGTGCCAAATGTCAACTTGACGCAACTTTCCTCCTATATCCGTGCTTGGGACTATTGGTGCAAGACATTCTCACACTAGCGGAGTTGGTGGAGTTTTTAAAACATTATTTGCATATATGTTCTCAAATGGTTCATTTTAACTCAAATATATATTAGTTAAATGTTAGCAATTTAGATTGATGATTTTCCATTTTCCTTTCTAAATCTTTTTTCAAAGTGAAATTTTAATTAAAATTAAAAAAAGAGTTCGGGGATTTGGTATGGGGATTCATACCACAGAGAGAGAGAGAGAGGTATACCTTGATCTGCATTCTCCTCATCTTGTCTGTGGCCACGGAAAGAAAATATTATTGATTTGATATATTCAATGCCTTCAAGAAAAAAAATAAGCAATTAATATTGTTTCTATCAGTCTCTTAATTCAGAAGTGAAGAATTTTTTGATAGTAAAAGAAAATTTACTAAAAGCAAAATGAAGGGAGAGAATGAAATCCATAGGCCACAGAAAACAAGGCCCACAAGAACAATGCAAGAGGAAGTGAAGAATATGATATTTATAACAGTGAATGAATGAACATGAAATAAATAAATGACAATTGATTAAAGAATCGGTCCTTCTTTTGTAAAGGAAGTCTTTTAGCTCATGACTTTTGCTCAATCAAATATAATATAGCAATTTCATTGGCTAAAAAATTATAGAAACAAATGGGTAGATGCTTACTTGTGGAGATAGAGATAGAGATAGGCRTTAGAAGGGCTGCCCACCAGGTTTCATGTTCAGAAGTACTTTCAATTAGTGCAAGTATCGCGGTTTTATTAAATCTATCCTTGATCAAGAGCAATTCCGGGAAGTCATTCACTAGTTTCAAATCCAGATCTGCAGGTATGAATATAAAAACAATATGCATTCATGTTAAGAGAAAAAGAATAAAAAGAARGAAAAGAGAAAAAGAAAATAAAAAGCTTCATTTCATCTAACTTGTTACCATAGAAATTTCCATATATCAAAGCAATAAGAATAGTAACCCTAAATTTGTTGCGTGCTTTCTTGTCCCAATCSTYTWTGTCGTTTTTAGCATCAGCTTTATCCACTTCAATGGTGGCTTTGAATAGATATTCTACGACCTTCTTATGCTGGTTCCTGATAGCATGGTGAAGGGGTGTCTCACGATAAGATTCTAACAGCACTAGACGCCTTTCCTTTTTTACCAAGGCCTTTACAACATTCAAATGTCCACCTGAGGCAGCTAGGTGAAGTACTGTTCTGTAGTTATTGTTCACCAACATTACCTCTTCATCCTTCATCGTGTCTAGTAGCAGCTTTACAATTTTCAGATGTCCTATCCTGGCTGCGATGTGAAGAGGGATATCCTGCCCTGCTGTAATTCTCGATGCAACAACTACTCTTTTATTTCTCTCTAGGAATGTTTCTACTTTTTTACATCTACCCTTTACAATATCATCGTAAAATTCCGGACACCATGTGTGTGCGGTCATTACCTGCAACCCTGGAACGGCAAAGAAATTAAATCACCATCATTTCACCATATTATTTATTTTCTTTCTAAGGCCCAAGGTTCAGATACGTATGGTACGTATCGATCGGTTCAGGGGATGGATGGATTACTTAGGCCTTCGGTACATGGCAAAACATCTCAACTTTCCAGCCTTATTTTTTTTCTAATTTAAAAAAAAATATTTAGAAATATTGGAGCAATTATTCATAAGAAACTGATATATAATTCAGCACTCCTTCAAATTACCTTCAAATCATTTAAGTAATTTAATGGTCAAGTGAGATCATAGCCTTTGTAATAATGAATTTTTCAAAGTATTTTGAGATTTATTTCAAGTCAAACTTGATTCTAAGGCCGATTCCACTAAAACTGGTACATCGGGATAGTACAAACAATATAAACCCTTAGACCCTAGAATTAGCCTGGGTGGGAGTCAATTTCAAAAATTTGAAACGTAATTTATCCTACCCTAGAACAGATTGGGTGGGGTCAGTTTTATGGCCAGTTCCATTTGGTTTCAAGTAGTCTTTTTTGTTTTTTCCAAATTCATGGGGAAATGTGTTTCCACTGAATAGTTTTCTTTTTCTTTTTTGAGAAAATTTCCAATATGGAATTGGAGGCCCAGGCATTCAATTAAAGTATTTACAAAGTTTATGCATCTAGGAATAGATCAGTTAACAATAGCAGGCACAAGATTTCTGTGCAATGTAGAAATAGATACATTCACTTCTCCTACAGGGGAGAGACATGGCTCTGTTATCCACCCTAAAAAGAGTATTTCTTCCCTTTAAATAGCATTTTCCCTATATTAATTGTTAAAGTGTAGTGAAAAGTTTTTTGAAGACATGTACCTTTCGGATGGCAATCATACATCACATCCAATTGCTTCCAGACTTCTTCCGATGGGTACAAATCTTTAATAAATGGTCGGATCATCGGAGGACATTGCGCATTGATTATAATGGTAGTCTCAGTTTCACTGCAACCTTTACAGTCCACGTAATCTTTCATCGCTTTTTTCCAACCTAAATAATCTGCACTTCTTCCTTCACCTAAAACAGGAGGATCTGAAATAATGAAAAACAAAATATATAGTCAGCTCAAGTGGGTAAATAATTTATTCAATCTACGCGTCAGGGTGTCAAAGGGGCATTTCTTGTTTTCCAATGAAATGTTTCAAAAATAAACATTGATATTTGACACACCACAGTGCCAAATATACCCTAAATCAACCTATAATGGTTGGACCATTTGACTTCAAATCTTGTACCCAGTAGAGTTTTTGGATTTATGGACCACCTTAAGGGTGTGATTTGGTTAAATTCAAATTTGATTACATATTCGAATATTTGATTTGAACTCAGCAGAATAATTATTTATATAATTTAAATATTATATATATGAATTATATAATTGAGATATTTATTGAATCGAATCATGCATGTCATGTATGAATTTGATTTGATTATGTATGAATATTGAATTCGAACTCAGATTTTCGAATACACCCCTAAAATAATCTATTTTGACAACATTATATTGCTTTTGCCGTATATCACATTTCTGAAAATGGGTGAGAGAATTTAGCTCTCCCTGAACTTTTTTTGTGTTGCATGTTGAAATAACAATGACCTGACATTCCAATGTATAACAATTTAGCCAAAAATAAGCTTGACATATGATCAATTTTTTCACATTTGGGTGAAAAAGTGAAAGCAAAGCACCAAGCCTCTTTATTTGTTCAAGTGTTTTTGCTGCTAAGCATGTATAAAGAAATGGTATTGATGCTCCAACTCTGAGCTTTTCTTAATCAAATGATATACTCATAGTTGGTTGGAAAATTTGTTGGAAGTTGACCATTCTGGACTGTCTCGAACAATCAACGTGCATCAAAAATGTTTAATTTGGATATGTCTACGCTGAACAACCTTTGTTGTTCATTTGGCTTTTCCTATTTGACATGTTAGTTTATATGAGCTTAGATCATATTAGTAAATGGGGAGGGGGTTGATCAACTTTCTAGTCTTCACCTTTTAGTAAGTGGTGGGTTCTATGGTAAACTACTTTTTCTTGGGTATTACATATCCACTTATCATGTCTCACGCCACTAAATAACTTTTTCATTTAGGGGAAGAATTGATAATACATCATGGACAAAATTGCCCCTTATAATATATAAAATTACATGAGTAAAATGGTCAAAAGAACAACACTTAATTACCTAGAAAACAAAAGAACAAATAGGTGTGCTTACCAAACACTCAAGTAAATGTATTTACCTAGCTAAATATCTTACCAAACACTCAAGTAAATGCATTTATAAGAGATGAACTTCTATTGGAAGAGAAAATTTTAAGGTGGTGTACATAGTCTCATATGAGGAACATGTCTTATAATAATTGCACTCTATGGGTAAAAATGGTTAAAAGAACACTTTTATTGAATGCATAACTAAGAATTAACGTGTTATGTGCAAAGACAATAGGAGCTGTTGAATGCCTACAACCAAATTTTCTCAACATGCATTAATCTGTGTTTCTCTATTTCTTTCTTTTTCTACTTTTTATTTCAATTTGTTGTGATTTTAGTTGGTTGGCTTAACTTTGTAGAGAAAAGAAAGGATTAATTACCTTTGCATTTTTTGTTTTCTTCTCTTTCTCTTGCTTCTCTTTCTCTTGCTTCTCTTTCCTTTCTTTCATTTTTCTACCAGCAACAAAATACATGAAAAATGTTAAAAGTGAAAGAGAACACATCACTTGGATATGACAATGTAGTGCCATTTGGCTAAGTCTTTTAGTTTTTGGGAAGATCTTGCAATAACCCAGATGGAAAAAAAAAATGTTTAGAGCTTTTGGGGTCTTGTCTTTAATGTTCAAGATTGTTTAGTAACAACTCAATCTGTTGGGTTTTTAAAAACTCATTTAAAGGTCATTTACCAGGAAGATTCTCAAAATTTGGTGATTTTGATCTTTTCAACTTTCTTTAAGTGAGCATCTTTGGTCTTCTTCTTGACTTTCTTTCTATCACCATACCAGGAAAAATCGATTTTTGGTCTTCTAATCTTGTCAAAGCACAAAAGATTGCATAAAAAAGACTGCCAAATGCTAACTATATTAAAAGTGGGAATGAGATCTAGACTTTTTGGACTTTTTCTTGACTAAAATACCCTTAATTTTGAATTTGGTCCCTCAATCCTTATTTATTGTGAGGCAAAAATCATAATTTTCTTGATATTATTTTTAAGTTCATTCTATTGCCTCTAATTTAATTCTATAATTAAGGTATTAATCCTCATTTCTTCTCATTAAATTGTATATTTAAGGTATATTAAATAAGTGAGCTTTGTAGGATCTTCCAAACTAAAAGTCCTCACTTTTGAATTTGAATACCTCTCCAATTGTGAGGGCTGATAATGTAATTTGAAATACTAGTTTTAACTTCATTCAATTCCCTTTTGTTAAATTCTATATTTAAATGGTCAACCCCATTACCTCTAATCTTATCCTATATTTTAGGTATTATTTTCTATCATCAATATATTCTATTAATTAAATATATATCCAATATAGCCATCCAAGTTGAATGGGTCAACACATGAATGTATAATTAAGTAATAAAAATTAAAAAAATACAAAATAATATAATTTTTTTGAAATATCTCTAATATTATATATTCATCATATTAAAAATTAATATGATAAATAAGTACTCTTATTAATGATGAAAATGAAATATGACATTTAAATCTGCCAAAAACCGAAACTACTTTCCTATTTAGGTAGTTGGTGAAAGGTTTAACCATTTAGGTAAAATGGGTCAACCCATGATTTCATAATTAATCATTTAAATATTTAGAAATATAGAAACACAAAAGATAAAATATGAATAAATCTATGATATCATATATAATGAAAATTTAAAAAGAAGATTGAAATAAAAATGTATAGATAATGCAAAAAACAATTGTACATGCCTTTAATATTATATATTTATCATATTAAATAAAAAGGTTGTATTTAAATCCACCAACACACTATGCTTTAGTTATCTATCTTTAAATGTTTTGACAAGGATATTATTATTATTATTATTATTATTATTATTATTATTATTATCAAGTGTCAAATTAAACATATCAAGATAAAACAAGGATTCAATACTTACCATGTGGATGGGTTTGAAACATAAACGCATACTGCTTATATACTATAGTTCCCCTACACTTGGTGACTCTCTCTCTCTCTCTCTCTCTCTCTCTCTCTCTCTCTATATATATATATATATATATATATATATATATATATAAGTAAAAGCTCGATTAGGCTTGCAAGCCTCACGAGCTAATCTTTATTGGGTTCAAGCTTCACTTGAAGCTTGGTTTAAATTGAGTTCAATCGAGCTTCTTACAAGTCGTGCTTGAATAGCTCGTGAAAAGCTCAATTTATGGCCACCCATAATAAAAGAGATGAAGCATATGCAAGGTCAAGATTTAATTTATATAATTCATCACATAAAGTTCTAATACCAATAATACAAGACTAGAAATTCAATCTAGAAACACCAGTTTCAAAATTAAACTTAAAACCATGACCATCAAGTTTAATGATTGATAAAGGGTTCATTCTCATAGTAGGTATATAAATAACATCTTCTAAAATCAATTTGTAACTCCAACTACTCCCCTTTGAGCTTTGGCCCTATTTCTCATCACCAAATCCCTTCCTTCACTTAATCTTCTGTTGCTAAGAAACTCCTACATAGTGTTTGAAATATGTAGGGTTGCCCCAGTATTAACCCAACAAGTATTTGAAGGTACATCAACAAGATTCGACTCAAAAATTACATAGGCTAGTAAGGTGGCTTTCTTATCCATATTCTTCTTGAACTTCAAACAATCCTTCTTCATCTAACCTATATTCTTGTAATAAAAGAACAGACTCTAGAATTATTCCCTCCTTTCACTACCCACCCTATCATATTTCAAATTTATTAATTGCATTAAAAAGTTCCACCAATTTCTTTAGTGGAGCTATCAAACTGCTCCTAAACCCTATCCAAATATTTATTCACAATTGTCTTATCTAGGATACATTAAACAAATATGATTTGGCTTTTACCTAGTTTTCATATTTGTCCTCTTTTATTTTGTGCTTTGATCGGTGGATTTTGGAGGTTCACCCTATAATAAGGCAAAATCAATCATCAGAATGGTTAAGAATAACTCTATTTGTTATTTCTAGTAGAAAAGTTTGATCCATCCAAAGTTTTAATACCAAACAAATAATTGAGAATTGTTGTAGTATTCAAAGCTAAAAAAAAAGGAAAGCATGCTCACTATACTACATCTCAATTTCTTATCAAAATCATGCCATTACAATTCATAATATCTAATTGGTTAAAAGTCCCAGTTAGATAGAACGGAACGTGACCTTAAAAACTTAATGGATCTATTCTACTGAGAAGAGTTGACATAACATTGCATTCTCACCTTTGGGCTAAGAACACAATATGCAAATTCTCTCTCTCTCTCTCTCTCTCTCTCTCTCTCTCCTTTATGGTGACAAGAATCACTACAAGATTGACTAATATGAATATCATAGGTTTCCAAGAGTTTATACCTTTGGGCCTAAACCCTTTTTATATATATGACAGTCAAATTTATCATCATGTCCTATAGAATTGCAAAAAAAAATAACCCTCCTTTGGGTGTGATCACCATCCTAATGCAAAACAATGCAATTTAAACAAAATCATCATTAGGGAAAATCTACGATGCAGAAAAGACATGGTATCGGGAGAGTTTTGACCAATCAAAACCCATCCATGAATTTTGATAAATAACACATGATTTTCAGATATATATCATATCTTTCTAATATCACAGTCGAACCCTTATCATCAATCATACTAGAAGACCACACAAAATATAAAATTTTGAGCATTTTAGCGGTTATAATATTCATCCAATTTGAATGGTTTCAAATTGGTTTTCATTTAAGCAAGCATGATAACTCAACAGTATAATTAGGCAAATAGTCATATATCATGCAAATAATAATATCATGGATTCACATACAATGGATAAGCAAACTAATATAACGATAAGAAAAAAAAGCACGATAAATTAATAATAAACCATTATTAAAACGTAGTAAAACCATTGAATCGGCACCCAAATCAATCCAAAAATTCACCAAATTTTACCTTATTGTAGCCCATGCTATTATCATAAGCCCATTTGGAAAAAGTTGGGTTCAAATTAAATAGTTTCAGATAGCCCCTAAAGTTGTCAATCAAAGTTTTGGGTTTTATAGATCGGGATGAATCGTGGGGTTTTGGTCAGAATATAATCAGAGTGTTGAGCACACATAAATGGATTTACAAAGTCCCAAAACCTCAGGGGACGAACCATGGGGTTTTGGTCAAAATATTCTGAGCTTTCTAGGATCATGAACCGACCCTTTAAACTTTTAGATACAAGTGAACCGGCCTGGTTTGACAAGCTGAACCAGATTGTCAAGTACTCCAAACTTGCTGGGTTGACAACGCTTACTCGGTTCAATTAACTGAACAGAATGTCTTGGTCCTCTAGGACCAGGTTCGGCCCAATAACAAACATGCCAAATTCAGGTCAACAATCAACTCGTACATCAGAAATGGGTCGGTGTGATTCGGGTTTGGGCAAACCCTCGAAGCCACCTTCTTCGCCCATTAATTTCAAGGCTTGAAAACCCAAATATCAGCAGCGTCTTCGGCTGCTAAGTACTAGTTTCCTTAGGCTGTCATTCGACCATCCATTGGTTGAAAATCGTCGATGACCCTCTGGCGATCATCTAGACATCGTCATGTTGTTAGAATCCAGCCAAAGCGCTGGAAACGAGAATCTTAAAATTATTTTCTTCTTTGCATTCATCACGCAATGGTTGAGGAATCAGGCTCTGATCATAGCAATTGAAAAGAAAATCTAAAAGAGAACCTTATAATCCATTGCATGAAGGAAGAATTGCACCAGCGAAAGATCTCTTCTATCCCGTTTCTCTCTCTCTCTCTCTCTCTCTCTCTCTCTCTCTAACTCATGGGAGAGCTTCGCAGGTCACCAAGGGATGCTCTAACCATGAATGGGCGGTTTTAAAACTAGTCATTGCAAGACCATTAAGGTGGACCATTACAACCTTATGATTCAAGTGTTTTATTCTAACACTAAAATCACTTTGTCCTAATTTATAAAATAGCTCTTCAGATCCAATGTAAGCCCATGATCATTGAAGGAAACTCTCCCTTTGTTATCAATATATACTTCAAAACAGATCGAAAATCACTTGGAGATGCACCAACCTAGTGAAGGAGCAGTGCAAGTTGATAGCGCAGAGGACAACATGCCGGATCTCTTATTCGCACACTCAAGGAGAAGGAAATGCAGCAGATGACTGGTTGGCCAGTAGAGGAGTGGATTTCAACTTCATCATCTTCTTGGATGCAGCTGGCAAAGTCTCCCCAAGATGGTGCTAGTCTAGGTTCTTTTTAGTCTGTTTTACCTTGTTCCTTTTCCTGGTTTTCTTTCTTTTTTTTTTTTTAACCAAGGAAAAGAGGCACCACTATATACGCATTCTCTGTAAACACCTGATTTTGCTAAACTATGTGCAGTTGAATTAAAATCCCTAGAAATCCACCGTACTACAGGAGATAAAAAAGCTATGGTGTTTTATAACACTTTTCAGACCTCTGAAGTCTGAAAAGTTGCTTTTCAGACCTTAGAGCTATTTGAAGTGCATTTGAATTTAGATGTGAAATGAATTTTCAGATCTGAACTAATAAGACAGATCAAGCTCTGAACGCGGTTAGATGCGTTTCAGACCTGGCCAAAAGTCTAAAATACCCTTTAAACAAAACATATGTGTTTCTCAAGCACTGCTCAATTTCTCTACTTGATGCACCGACAAACCAGCAGTGGCGAGCTTCCTCCTCTGGCGGGCACCGTTCTTCTTCTTCTTCTTCTTCTTCTTCTCTGGCGAGCTTCCTCCTCTAGTGACCTCAGGCTCTGGCCTTAAGCACAAATCTAATGGTTGGGCCATAGTTTAGCTTAATTACTATGAAATTATTTTACCTATTATTTTAATTAGTATAAAATAATTTTATAATAATTAAAATAACGATAATTAAGCTTTAATACCTCTAAGTTAACTAATCTACTTCCACTATTTCATTCATATTTATTTTTTCATTTATTTATATTTTATACTCTTAGTAGTTACTATAGAATTTTGTATTTAGTCTATTTTTTGCTTTTTAAATAATGATTAAAATATGATTTAGTATTCAATTTTTCTATATTGAAAACATTTAAAATTTATATAAAAATAGTATTTAAAACATAAATAATTATTAAAAAAGTTTATAAAATATAAATAATACCCTGCCCCACCCCGGACAAAGCAAGTTTTCTCGAATCTTAAATAGTGATGGGGAAGAGAAAGGGTGGGGATGAGAAAAATATTTTTGCTCCAAATTAGGGATGGGATTTGCATATAATTCCCCAAACCTGATAGTAAATTAATAAAATATCACTATATTTAATATTGACTTTTAAAATATATCTCTAAGTTTTTCTTCATATTCTTATAATCCTACGATCCCACAATTCTATTTATAAAATACCTCCAAATTGCCATAATCAAATTCCTAAAATACCCCAAATTCCCATAATCCTATTTGTAAAATATCCACAAATTATATTATTTCTAGGTGGTTGCCTCAGATGAGGAAACTTGGGGATTCCCAATCCTCAACGAGGAATGGGTGCCTCACCTTGGGGCAGGGATGGGGTAGGAGTGTCTTGACTACAGGGGCGAAGGATAGGGAGGGGTGCCACATCCCGTGGATCTCATGGGGCCCCACTAGTTATAATTACTTTTGTGCTTTTGATAATTTTTTAAAGTTATAGCATAATTTTGTTATTTAATCTATTTTTTTAAATAATATATAAAATATAATATAGTTATTAATATTTCGATATTTAAAGTATTAAAAATTAGTTATTGATAACATGATTTAAATATTTAAATAATACCATTATTTAAAATTTTAAAATATTAATTATTTATTAAATTTAATAATCTAAGAAATTGTAATTTATACTATTATTACATAATTTTGTTATTAATTTTGTAAAATATAAAATTATTGTTAATTCAAAAGTTATGAAATCTAATATAATTATTATTCTACTCTTAAGAAAATTTTTTAAAATTTATTACATAATTTCGTTATTTTAAATATTTTATTATTAAAATATTTAAATAATATGTAAACTATTTAATCTTTTTTATTTAAATTTTATTTCTTAAAATTATTATGTAATTTTAATTATTTTGTTACATAATTATTTATCTATTTTTAGTATTTTTTTATTTAAATAATTTTTATTTATTTTTTTAAATATTATTTAATTATTAAATTCATTGGATAATCCATAAAATTATAATTTATATTGTTATTACATAATTTCATTATGAATTTCATAAAAATATAAAATTATTAATAATAAAATATTATTAAACCTACTATAATTATTTTTGTATTTTTAATAAATATTTTAAAGTTATTAACATAATTTTATTATAATATTTAAATAATTATTAAATGTTTTAATTGAAACTTTCTTTAGATAGATATAGATGAAAAGTGGGGGAATGGAAAAATAGGAACTATGGATAATTTAGGAGATAAATAGGAATAAGGGAGAGATAGAGATAATTTAGGAGAAAGTGGGGGAATGGAAAAATAGGAACTATGGATAATTTAAGAGATAAATAGGAATAAGGGAGAGATAGAGATAATTTAGGAGAAAGTGGGGGATAATTAGTTTCTAAATAAAGAGAGAGGAAAATAGGAGATAAGCCATGTTATGTGGGGGATAGTTAGTTTCTTAATAAAAATGAGAGGAAAAAAAAAAGGAGATAAGCCATGTTTGATGGCAAATGCTAGTGCTTCTAGAAGGAATCTTGCACCCCCTTTAGAATATCTTGGTTTGGGTAACAGAGGAAGGAGAGGACTACTGACATGACAAGCTCTACTGTATATAGATATAAATAGATTGAGTTAATTAAGGAATTGAGAGAGGGTGCTGAATTGGCAAAATGAGAATGGTGGGAAAGGGAGAGGAGAGAGAGTTAAGAAGAATGCAGGGTGGGGATAATGGAGCAATGAGAGACATGACAATGTAAACCGTCTTGCCATATATATATATATAGAGAGAGAGAGAGAGAGAGATAGATAGATAGATAGATAAATAGTTAATCTTGGATAAATTAATAAAATAATAATTAGAGGTCCTACTCCTATAGTAGTATGCATCATTTGTTGCAAATGTGCACTTAAAAGTTAAACACTACTTGCAATTAATTGAATGCTACTCTCATAATTAACCTTACCTCTAACCGGTCCCAAGCTTCATAGGCTGTTGATGAATCGGCGATGTTCGGGAAAATATTTTTATCCACAGCTCGGAAAATATAGAACAAGGCCTCAGAATCTTTCCTTTGAGCCTGTTCATCTTCTGATGCTCTATTTTTTTGAACAACTTTCCATAAATCCTTGGATTTGAACATGACTTTCATCTGGATTTTCCAATCTTCAAAATCGTTCCCATTAAACCTTGGAAGTAGCAGCTGAAGCAAACCATCACCCTGCTCCATTGATCTTTGAATGAATTTGGAGCTAGGATGACCTCTGATTTATATAATAATCCTATTAAGTATATGTAGATCCTGTATAAAGAATTAAACAAATAGTTACAACAATGGAAGCGGAACTTTCTAAATCGTCTTTCTAACTCTGGTGCGATTACAGAACGAGATCTAATTGATTAATTAATTCCTAATATAATTCAAAGCAATTAAACCATACAATTCTATACAATTCTATAAAAGAGCAATGAATTTTCTTTTGGGAAAAGATTAGACAGCACCAGCAGCAGCTGCCACATCAGCAAAAAATGTATTGTATTTGATGACATGACAGGTGATTTTGGTTTAAAAACAAAGCCATGCTGGTCCATCGGTTGAACCATTTGTCATTGACTCGGATGGTTGAACCGTCCCCAAGGTCAAAGACTACACACCAGATGAAAGACAATAATTAATCAAATTTCATTAATTTTAATTACTTTATAAAAAAAAATTAAAACAGGACACACTAGGCTCACATTTGTTTTGCAGTGCAATTCTGATGAACAGGATTCAAAATTTGCACATGGTTCAGATCTGCATCAATTTAATTACTTGATAGTAGGGGTGGATTCGAGCCAAGCCGAGTCGAATCATATGAAGCTCGAGCTCAGCTCACCAAGGTTGTATAAGGCTCAAGCTCGAGCTCGAATTCGGTTTGAACTACAATATTGAGCTCGAGCTCGATTTGAGAAAAAATATTTTATAAAAATAAAAAATTATATATAAAAAATAATTTTTATGTGATATTTAAAAAATTAAGAATTATAGTATTTTTATTATACATTGTTTTTTATAATTTATATATATATATATATATATATATATATATATATATATATATATATACACATATAGAGAGAGAGAGCTCTATTAGGCTCGAGCTCGGCTTTTTTACTAATCGAGCCTATAAATTGGGCTTAAGCTTGGCTCGAAGCTCGGTCGAAATCAAGCCAAACACGAATAGCTTGTGAAGAGCTCGACTCATGACCACCCCTACTTGATACAGAACCTATATACAATCTTTTATACATTACAAATTTTGTACTTCTGCAAACAAAGGAAGGCTGAATACTACTACTACTAATAATAATAACAATAGAAGTTATTGATGTAAAATTGAATTCTATTTACCTGCTGTGTGCTTGTAAGGAATTGATGCTTCGAATTGAATGCCTTCTCTCAAGTTGAAGCTATACCTTAAAGCATTTGTAAACAAGATAATGATTTGCTAGCAACAAAATAAAAGCACTCCAAACTCTCCGCTGTCTCTAAAGTAATTTGTTAAAGCAAGAAGGAATGTAGCCTGGAACGCCTCTAATTTGGATTGCACTTATATATACACCTAGTAAGACCATAACAGTTAAGCTTGGCCCTGAGCTTCCTTATCTTTATAAAAGCACTTAAATAATTTCCCATTCTATTGGATGATAAATTAGTCGCACAGAATCAGCTAGCTTTTTGACTGGATTTTTTAAAGCATTACTCAAATAAACAAAAGAGTTGGGATAACAAAAGTTACCCAGCAATGCTTAAAGAGAAAATCAGGCTGGCACCGATTCGGACCAGACACCCTTTAAGACTAAACTGACTAGCAAAAGAATGTGAGCTACTGAGTTTTGAGGATCGATTAACATACTTCCAAATTACAGAATTAAGGAGACCATTCAAGTATCAACCATGGTTTTCAAAACCGGACCAGACCGGACAGTCGGACTGGAAATCTTTAAATAACGCTGAAAAAGTCAAAAAACCGCTAACTCGGGCAGTCGGACTGTTAAACCGTTCAACCCGGGTAGCAGTTCGTGGGTTCTCTT